GCTCGCTATCTGGGAAGACTATGGAGAATAAGAGCTGGGCTCTTTTATGGGTCCAGGGTCCTAGATGCCACCTTGTCCATCGTTTTGTCTGTGTATTGTTTTTGGCAGTGTTTGGTCGTGGGCAAAACCCCCTCCAGTGCTCCTTGGGGGCATCAGGGTACCTGTAGCACTGATTCTCTCCTCCTGATATGCGTTACCTGCCAACTCTTTTTTAAAAAAATTTCTTTATTTATGCATACAAGAACTGGGGTATGGGCCAGAGGTGGGGGGTTGAGAGGATTCGCCAGAGACAGAGTGGGGAACAGAACAGGCAGACTGACTGAAATGCACTGCTGTGTGGAGCAGTGGGCGAAACAGGAGAGGTCTGCTGTGCCATGTGGGTAGCTCCCTGGCCAGGGATGGAACTCGTGCTGCAGTGGCTGTGGACAGCTTCATAGTGCTGCGTCTTAAACCCTTGCACCACCAGGGAGGCCCCACCTGCCAACTCTTAATGGCCCTGCACTTAGTGTTTCTGTCTCTGCCCTCACAAATATCATGCCTTCTGCCCAGCCTGCCTTTCCTCCCCTTCTTAACCTGGTCAAGAGTCCTTTCCAGGTGCCCCATGCCATCCACCTAGCGGGTACTTTACAAGCATTTGTTGCTCTGCTGAAAACCAGGATCTGCACCAAATGGGCATGCCCAGTGTGTGGGCTGACTCAAGCTCAGCTCAGTTTCTATTCGGGGTTTTAATTTTCCTGGTAGGCCTGGCATGTCAAGGGCCATAGTTTTCCTTACCGTTCTGGAGCCACCAAGCTTCTGGGTAAAACTGTCTGGCCAAGAGACACAGGCTTTCATTTTTCAAAAAGGAAACCCTTCCCAACGGGTGGAAAATAAGCTTTTGCTGAGTGACTAATAACATAAACACAGACAAGATTTCTGAGCTTATAAATAACCAGTTGTAAAAGTGCCCAAGGGAAGCAGCCCTTTCTGCCAGAAGAATGGTTGAGAGCGTTCCTATCACCTTCCTGGCAGTGACCTTACCGTGCCCAAGGAGTCTTGGGCTCAGGGTGTGGAAGTTGGTCATTTTTCAGTGCAAATTCCCAAGACCTTGTTCTTAGACACTGTAAATCCTGGCTATTTTGGAAAAATAATAGTGGATCTCTAGGTCTCTTCCTGTCTGAGAGCCCTGTGATTCTGCAGCAGCCATAGATCTTAAGGTTTTGTTGGAAAAATTATGAGAATAGCTTCCATTTATTGAGCACTGGCCAAGGCCCGTGTTGCGGGCTCGAGACCTGGGAACTCACTGAGTCCTCCCAGACTGTGTAAGAGAATCATTAGCCTCACTTGAATGGTGACGAGACTGAAGTTCAGGGAGATTGATGTGTCTATATAATAGGTAAGCGCTAGCATGTGAGGACCGGCTCTGCCTTGCACCTGCTCTGTGGCCACGGCCATTGTTATCATCACAACATGTGCTGCACCCCATCTTTCTCATCTGTAAAGTGGATATCTTAGGGCCAAGGCTAGGACTTAATTCATGCAAAATGCTTATCAGTAGCTCAGTGTCTCCATAGCAGGGGGCCCTAGGTGGAAGGGCTCCAGAGACTTCATGCAGATCTGAGATGCCCCACCTAAAACTATTGTTTGCTCTTGGTTCATCTAGAGCTGCCATCAGGGCCTGGGGTGAGACTCCAGTGAGGAAGGGTGGGGGTGGCGTCCCAGAACCAGGGACAGTCCTGTCACCTGACTGCCTCCAGCCCTGTCTTCAACAGTGAGGGGCCGATTTTCTCAATTGGATATCATCTGCTTAGCCAGTGTTTCCCAGCCTGACCCCTGGTTCATTTCAGTAGGAATATTGAAACTACCCAGTCAGCCTGTGAAACTGCGTGAAAGCAGCTGTCCAAGGATGACTGTGTATTAGCATTTTGTAAACATTTTACCCGTATTAGCCGCATAAACTTTTCTCTCCTGTATCCTTGGGGGGCTTTGAAATGTTCCCCAGCCCCGCCAGCTGCAGGCAGTGGAGGGGCAGGAGTGAAGGACAGTGAGGACGGGATTCAGAGCAAGCGGGGCAGGGCTGTGGGACACATGGAAGAATCTGGGTGTATTTCCAAGGCAGGACCAGCAGGGCTTACTGATGGATGCTGCTTGGGGCGACGCGTGGCATAGTGAGTTGTGCTGAGCTGAACTGTTCATGTCTCTGTGCCTTTCCTCCCCCAATTGTCGCTGATGTGACTTTGGCCTCCTTTAAGGACAGCTCAGACTTTTTAGGGTCTGAGTGTCCTTGTACTTTCACTGCTGAAGTACTTTCACTCTCTCTTCCTTCCTACCTCTTTTATTTTTTTCTTTCTTTTTTAAGCACATTTTCATTTTTTTATTAATATATTTTATTTTCTATAATTCTTACATCATTTTTCATTTTTGCACAATGTATGCATTTTCATTTTGGTTATACTCCCCATACAATTTTGCCCCCCTTATTTTGGCCCTAATCCCGCCTCCCTTTCCCCCCACCCAGTGTGTCTCTGGTTTATAGCTGCTTGTTGATTTTGATTTTTCTTTATTATAATTTGTCTTTTTCCTGGTCCCTTATTTAGGTTTCCTAAATTCCTCCTATGAGTGAGACCACCCAGTATTTTTCTTTTTCTTTCTGGCTTATTTCACTGAGCATGATCCCTTCCAGCTCCATCCATGTTGCTGCAAATTGCATGACTTTATCTTTTTTTGATTTCTGAGTAATATTCCATTGTGTGTATGTACCACATCTTCTTGATCCAGTCATTTATTTTTGGGCATTTAGGTTGTTTCCATAGCTTAGCTATTGTAAATAGTGCAGCTATAAACATAGGGGTGCAGGTGCCCTTTTTAATTAATGTTTCTGTGTCCTTTGGGTAAATACCTAGGAGTGGAATTGCTGGATCATACGGAAGCTCCATCTTTTAGCAGGTTAAGAAATCTCCACACAGCTCTCCATAGTGGTTGGACCAGTTTGCACTCCCACCAGCAGTGAAGGAGAGTTCCTTTTTCTCCACATCCTCACCAACATTTGTTGTTGCTAGTTTTTTTAATATGTGCCATTTTCCCACCTCTTTTAAAACGAGCAAACCCGCCGCCTTCTCTCGGACACATCAGGCTTTCCAAGCCAGAACCATCTTGCTGCCTGGGCAGCTTTGCCAGTCTCCAGAGCTGATTGGTTGGAGAACTGACTGAAGGCCCTGCGGGGGGCAGAGCCGTGGGTACCCCAAGGCCAGCAGCCCAGACCAGCCAAGTTTATCTGGCTGTTGTCTCTCGTCCTCCTCCTGCCTTCATTTATCAGAGACTTTTAGCTGGACTTAAAGGAGCTAAAAAGGAACTGGAGGGGCCTGAGCTTCCAACAGCCAGTGACGAGGTGTGGGAGGACAGGCGACCCAGGCTTGGGCGTGTTCCAGTTCAACTCAGTCCTCAAAGGGAGAGAGCAAGAAAGAGCGTGCGCGTGCATGCTCCACCTCGGGATCCAATAAATTCGATACCAACAATCCTAATCAACCTTGTTGAGCGCAATGTTGTAAGTGTAGGTTTTGTTCTTAGCATGTCACATACCCAATATCCAGAGATCCTCCCAATAGTTCTAAGAAGTTCTTACTGATATTATTCACATTTTACAGTTGACTAAACTGAGGCACAGAAAGGGCAAGCCATTCCCCTCAAGTCACACAGCAAGTAAGAGACAGATCCAGGGAGCCTGCTTAGGAGTGTCTTGATTGTAAAGCTATAGTTTTTACCTCTCAAAGTGGAGGCTCCTAGTGAGGAGATACGGCTAGGTAAGGCCGCAAGTAGATTTGCACAGTGCTGTGATGTGAGAGGTAGAAGGATGGTGGAGAGGAAGCCACATGTGACTTCAGTCTTGACTGATGAGTTGGATTTTCCAGGCATGTAAGAAAGGCAGGAGTAAAGGCACAGAGAAGAGCAAGGACCTGTGTGTGTGGGGGCGGGGGGGTAATGGGGGGTAGGAGGAGAGAGACATCGAGGCTGGCGAGATGGGAGGAGAAGGGGTCTTTCAGGGATGGTCCTTAGTATCTACAAAGGCTTTTATACCATATACCCTGGGAGCGAGTATTTAAAAAAAAAATGGTGTATTTTGTCCTTGGCCGAAGGGGCATCTTAAGTGAAGGCCCCAGTACCAATGGGTAGCCATGGAGTGGCTTGGGTGGAGGTGGTGCTGAAGCCCGACAGCCTGTCCATGCTGGCCCCCCCCAACCCACCACCATGGGCCTCTACCTTGAACTCAAGGACTCAGTGGAGCAAAGTTTAAATATCACGGCTGGACAGTATTAGGGTTGGGGCAAGAGGAGCGTTTAGTGCTACATAATTATTTATGGTAAATTGTCCAGGGTGCATACATGATGTTTTGAATTCATTCACTTAATAAATGTTAATTGAGACCCCGTTGTATGCCAAATGGCATTCTGAATGCTGGGAATATACTATGGATGGAAAGACCAGCCCTCGTCTACCTTCCTGTAATGTGTAATTCTAGTTGTGTAATAGACTAAGAAAAGTTGCCCGGATCATGTAGGATCTTGCAGACCATAGACAGAACTGGTTTTTTTTTGGGGGGGAAGGGGGTACATGATGGGAAGTCCGGAAGGTTTTGGGCAAAGAGGTGTCAAGATCACCCACCCCTTTTGGGTTCAGAGTTGCAAGTCAGGTATGGATGGCTGTTTCTTGTCTGAAGATCAGTGCACAGTAGTTGTGTCTGTCATCACTCATTATCCCTCCTACCAGGGCTCCTCTGGTAGAAGGGGCTTGTGAGAAAAGTTTCCGGGGAGTGGGGTCCCTAAGAGAGCCACACTTCCCTCAGCCTCGCAGGCAAGGCACTCACCTGACTCCTTCTGGGGACTTGCATCCTGACTGTCCTGACCCGAGCTGTGTGTCCCTGCGCGGGGACATGTGGGGACATCGCTGCCTTCCCTAGTCCCCTCCGTGGTTTGTCGCCAGCTTGTCGGATGAACGGAGTGTTTGTGTCTGCTGTTCCCCCACAGTGTTTGAGAACAAAGACAAGATTGTGATCATCATGGAGTACGCGAGCAAGGGGGAGCTGTATGACTACATCAGCGAGCGCCGGCGGCTCAGCGAGAGGGAGACCAGACACTTCTTCCGGCAGATCGTGTCCGCCGTGCACCATTGCCACAAGGTACCCACAGCCTCCTGCACCGCCCGGTTCTCGTCCTGGCCTGGGAGGCCTGTCTGCTCATTGTAGTGCGCGCGGAGAATTTATAAAACAGAGAGAACGAGGTCACCATGCATCACCCTAGAATCCAGGGATAACCCATTCTGGACACTTTTGTTAGTTTCCTCCCAATCTTCCTCCTGATCCTCCTAATTCTTTTTTATTTAAATTTTATTTGGAAGATTTTTCCATGTACAGCCAAGTTTCCAAGCTGATACAGTGTCCCCCAGAGCCCTCATTCAGTTTACCCACATGCTCACATTTTGCATTATTCCCCTGGGGCATTGCTCATACCCAAGACACCCCCTTTACACGATGCTGTTAGTGACACTCCAGATTTTATTTGCCTTTCCCTGTTTTTTCCACCCCTAATCTCCTTCCAGTTCCAGCTCTGGTGCAAAAGACCATGTTGCAAGTATTATTACATAGTGTATGTCTTGCTTGTCCACTCAGCATTTGAATTTAACCATTTTCCTATGTAATTCAGAACTCTGTCATTTCTGTGATTGTTGGACATTTAAATGGCTTCCAATTTCTGGTTATCCTAAATAGTGATAGACATCTTTATACATGAAGCCTTTCCTCTCGTTTGATTAATTTATTTAAGAGAAATTCCAGAAACCCCAGACTTACTGGACCCTAGGTTCTGAAGCTTTCCGTGCTCCTAGTACCTTTCCTCACATTGGCTGCATCCATGTGGGTCCCCCATACTCATGCGCTCATTGTAATGCAGTTCTCCTAATGGGTGTGCTTGTGATACGATCAGTTTAGTGGCTTCCGGTCTTTGATGAAGGGAATGAAGAACACAGGTATTTCAAGCCCTATTTCAGCATGTTGTTCTTCATCATTTTAGCCATGACATCCCTCCCCTTCAGCCTTTCCCCCAAAACTGTCACCCCTGAAACAGTCATTCATGGTGCGGACAACAGTGAGTGAATCCAGCATGGCACCTGAGAGTCAGCCTCTTCATCATGGGGTTTGTTGAAATTGAGAGTGACTCAGGAAGTGATTAGAACATGGTTGTTTAAATCCAGAATCCTTAGCCCAGGTGAACATTATATGATTTTTCTTTGCTGACTCAAAAGACACTGATAATTCTGGTCATATGCAGTATTATCAGGCACCATAGCAAGGCCCGACAGACCATATCTTTATTATCCAAAGCGCGCGAGCGCTGGACTCACATGAATGGGGCTCTGTCAGTCTTCTTGCCTCTTATTATGAAAACCAGGAATGCTGCAATAGCAACAAAACTGCTCCTGACATCTAAAACTCAACAAAGTCAAGTACCTTTACTCTGTATCTCTCCTCTAGGAACCATGGTTTGTGCATATCTGAGTTCAAAACACATCTGTGAAGTCTTGGGTTAGAAAAAAGTAGTAAAAATACATGTCTTCATCTCCCCAGGCAGAGCTTTTGGAGATACTAGAAACTGTCAAATGAAAAGGAAAATAAATAAGGAAGCTTCACCAACTGTAAAATGCAGATTCTAAACTAAAGCAGTTGAATGAAACATGAGGAATTTCTAACCAGTTGGTTTGCTTAAAAGAACAGCTTCAATTGCAAATGTCCTTTATGCTGAAGTTCAAAACTTACTCCTGCTATTTATCAGCCCAGCTTTAAATAGCTGTTTTTTTCAGTTCTGCTTCTCTTCCCAGGCCCACTCACCGGCTTAAAAGATCACTGGGTTTTAAAAAGAATTGAACACTCGGTTGTCACTGCTGTGCAGACAGACCAGCAGCGTGTGGTTAAGCCTCCTTTTCACCTCTCAGCTGCCTGCTCTTGTTACTGCAGCGCCGCTTCCAGAGTTTGCATGAATGAAGAGGTCACAGCATCTTAGCAACCTGCTTTGGCTGGCCTGGTGACTGTGGTCTCCCTGGCCTCTCCCGCCCCCACCCTTCACCCTGCATTGAGTCCTGCCCAGCAGCCAGTGGCTTTCAGAAACTTCTCTTTCAGCCACCTAGGAAATAGCCCTGGTGCTGCCTCTGATATCCTCAGGCCATATCTGGATTGGGTTCCTGGGTCAGAATAGATTGAACCAGGCCCCTTTGCAATGTGGGGGAGGCAAGGAGACAGACAGACAGACAGACAGACAGACAGGCAAGGTCAGTGAGCCTCACATTCTGAGACCTCAGCAAAGAGATCTGCCTTTCCTGGGAATCACCTCACAGACAGACATTGTCTGCTGCTGCCTGGGACGATATTGCTTTCACACAGTGGAATTACATTCCCACAAAGAATCCCCCTGCTGTTTTACAGGCTCTGGGGGAGAATGGATTCCAGTCATTTTTCCCTTAACCACACAGCAAGTGACTAATGCTCTCCTGTCGCTGGTCGCTGGCGGGGAGCTTCACGACAGCACGAGCAGCCCTGAGGTTGGAGGCAGAGACCACCGGGCTGGCGCATTTCTTTAATCTGTCAAACATGTCCCTTTGCTCACCCTCCTTTCTCTTTCTGGCTCTCTCATCCCAGCCGCTCACATTCAGTTTTGTCTGTCTTCTCCTTTCAGAACGGTGTGGTCCACCGAGACTTGAAGCTGGAAAACATACTGCTGGATGACAACTGCAACATTAAGGTACAGCCCTTGCCTACTTGATTGCTCAGCAGGTCTGGGTATTGTACCTGGAGCGGGGGGGGGGGGGGGGCCTCACCTGCCCCAAGCTGCAGCCTGGAAATATGGCGCCACTTCCTTCTCTGGCATCTGGGTGGGGGAGTCACTGGCTTGAGCCCTCAGTTCAGTTCAAAGGACTAAATTCAACAAGTGTTTGTGGCCCTCCAATTACATGCCAGACATTCGTGCTGGGACAAGAAGAAATGACTCTGATACATCCCCAGGGAGCTCCTGATCTACCCCATCACCCCATCACCCTAAAGTAGTTATAACAATGTGTGTGTGTGTGTGTGTGTGTGTGTCACACTCAATTTTCACAATAGCCCTAAAAGACAGGGACTGTTATCACATCATTTTACAGGGAAGCTGAGGCACAGAGACATTAAGTTACTTAGTTACTCAAGTAACTCAGGGGCAGGTAGTGGAGTTGGGATTTGCACCTCTGTCTGGCTCATCCCAAATTCAAACCGCTAACTCGATTTGCTAGCAGGGCCCTTTGTTGTTTTAGAGCTAAAGCCTTTCCCCACCGTCTGTACCTCCCAGCCCATGTCTCCTCCTCCCCAGCCCCCCAGGCCTGAAACCAGCTGTGGAACAGGGAAGCTGACTGAGATGGCCGGGCTCTTTGCTGCTGGGAAAGAGCAAACCACCAAGTGATGGAGTTTATGTTTGTGGAGAGTATTATTGCTGGCTGCCCCCGGAGCTGGAGAAAGCTCTCCTGTCCGACAGGGTTCAAGTGCCTCCTGCAGAGTACTCCCGATGTCTTTTTGATCATGTCTGCAAAATAAGCAAATACGGTTTCAAAATAAACTAAGCTCGCCGTGTGGGTTTCATTATGAAACGGCCTTCGTGCTCCCGCCACCAGAGCTTGGCTCTGATTGGCCTCCGGTGACGTTAGTACCTCATCCGTGGTCCCGGACAAGGCCTGGGAACGACCTTGCATCGAACTCTGTTTTGTTGTCGTGGCTGTTCCTTGAGGGAAGCAACTCAGGGAGACTGTAGGCTTGCCTGGGGGGATGGAGCTGCTTTGGTGCTTGTGCCCTTCCTGCAGGTCATGGCACAACGGTTAGTCACCTCAGCCTTGAGAGCCCCCCAGGATGACTTCTTTCTTCTTGCAGAGGAGCTCACTGTGGTCGCCTATTTCGTGTAGTCCAGAGAGTAAAGGGAAAGCTGTTGGTTAGAGCTGTTCTCTGCAGGAACAGGAAGTGAAATTTCAGGCTCCGTCTCTCCATTTCTGGAAAAATGCCTGGATTATTCTAGAAGGAGCACTGGCTACACTTAGAAAATTTCACCCTGTGTGGCTTGACATTGGGGAAGTCATTGGACCCTACTTCCTTATTCACTGTGCAAGGGTACACAGTCACTACTGCATGCCTGTTTTGAGGAGTAGGGGGACACTCTGCTGAGCTTCATAAGCTGCTGAGCCCTGTGCCCTGAGTCAAGGTTAGGCTGCTTTGGAGCTGGTTGTGCTGGGCTTGCATGGCAACCCTTACTGCAGTGTTTTAGATGAATGACTCGCCTGTCTAAGCCTCGGTTTCCTCACTTGTCCAGTAGGGATGCCAGTCCCTGTCTCTGGAGATTATTGTTTATTTGTTAATTTTTTTTCAGTGAGTGTTTCCTGAGCAGTTACTGCATGCCTGCTTTGTGGCCAGTCCTGGCCATCAGTGACAAACAAGAGGATTCTGGAGAATTCTGTACTCAAGGCACTTAGCACTTAACACCAAGGCACCGGCTGGAAGGGCTGGCCACCAGAGAAGACAGAACTACCTTCAGAAGTTCTGAAGGTGCCCAGGTCCGGAGGTGTGATGATCAGCCTGTGGCTGGAGGGTTTGATTCTGGTCTGAGGGGCATATTCTAAGGGTCTGTGTCATCCACCCTGCAGCTCCCTCTCCGGATTCTCCCTGCCACCTGCCCCTGGAGTGCTTGAAACTAAATGTAGTCTTTACAAGGCCTGGAATGTGAGCCTCTGGCTTGGGGATTGGGTCCTGTGACGTGACCTCTTGGTCCCATGATGTAGTCCCAGCAGTGATAAGGCACATAGCTTCCTATGGAGTCATAGAATTCCCCAATGGAGGAGAAGAATGGTTAGAATTCTGAAAGCAATTGTGCTGGGAACAATGGGGCCAGAGCCCAGGAGAATGGCTCATTTGCATAAGCAACTGGGCAATGCTGTTGGGCCTCCCAGCTCCCAGGACCACATCCTTCAGTATAGGATCCTCCTTCCTCCTGTAGGGCAACAGCAGACACATAGGACATAAACATTCAGGCATGGGTCCTGTCTTTTCCTTTGTCTTTTCCTTCAGAACTTCTGCTCTGGCACTCCCCAAGGTAAAGCATGCACACTCATACCAAACAAAAGCCAAATCTCTCCCTCTTCAGATGCTCATCCTTCCTTCTGCTCATCCAAGGACGGCCGCTAGGATCTGAGAATGCTAGAATTTGAAAGACCCTTGAGGTTCATTTCCCAACTGTTTGTTTTAATGATGCTGACCCAGACGTCTAAGAGATGTGCCTGGGATCACACAGTGCATCAGTGTAGACAAGTTATTGTATCTTTGCCTCCCCGGGGTGTGGCACACTGCTTATCACACAGGAGGTGTTCTTAAACCTTTTGATTTGTGAGCAAAGGGACAGCAGCCAGGATCAGAACTCACGTGTTTAAATTCTAGGCAAAGTCTCTTTTCATCATCTCACACCCACTTCCAAGGTTTTTTAGAATGTGTTCCAGCTGGTGTGGATTTATCTTCCGGCTGTATGGGCTCAGCGCTTCCTGACTCAGCATTTTGCTGAAAACATATTTAGAAAGGGCACTTGTGACAAAGGCAGGCAGACACATGGCCACAAGCTGGCCTCTGTGTCAGTGACACCGATGGCCTGTTACTTAGCAACAGGATACCATCAGTGAGGACCCTTGGGTGCCTCTCTAAATGTGGGTCCATATCTAAGGGTAGAGGCGTTTTTGCCCAGGAAACCTGTAAACTTTAAACTTGTCACATGTTGCTGCAGTTTTGGTGGGGCCCCACGTCCCTTGTTCCTCTCCCCTTCTCTGCCTGATGTTGATTTGCAAAGAGCACATCTGGCGCTGGAAATGATTTATCTGGCCATGGCGAGAGGGTGTGGCTTCTAAAAATATTCACACAGTCGGTCAGCAGAAAGAATGAGAGCAATGCACTTCTTTGGTTTGCGTTCCGTACTCTGGAGAAGCATGCCTACTAAAATAGACACCCGGCATAGCATTAATTTGCAATTAATAAAAATGGGCCAGATTCACATCCCACTCTCTGGGAGGAAGAAATGATGACAATTCCCATAGAAGGCTCCTGTAAAAGTGCCTTACAATGAAAAGAGGTCCAGGCACCAGGGTCAGCTGACCCCCTCAAAGAGGGCTGGGAATTTGGTGAGCTCCCAGGGTTGGGAGGAGAGGGGCAGAGGGGAAATGGCCTGTTACACCCATGACAATGGAAAGGCGGCTGCTGTGGATAAGAAAAGAAGCTTTGAATGGCCAGGCAGAGAAGAGATAGCGATAGCTCTGAGGCTTAACAAGCCAAGTGGGGCAGCTCAGGATCTGGGCCTCTGGGCTTTGATTATATGAACGTGAGAACCCTGCATTCACACATTCATTCATTCATCCATTTGTTTGTTCGTTTATCTACTTGTGTGTTTCTCTATTTCTGTCTTTTTCTCTGTCTTTCCCTGCATGCCTACATTCACACATTCATTCCTCTACTTATTCATCTAGCAGTTGAGTATCTCCTGTGGGCAATATTTATTCAACCACAAGTATTTACGAAGTTCCTATTATGTGTCTGGCCCTGTGCTGGGTGCTGGGGTTCAGTAGTGAACCAGATGGCGAAGTGCCTGTCTTCTTGGAGCTCGGTGTCTAACAGTTGTTAACTCATCTGTAATAATGAGTCATGAGAAGGACATAGTGGTGAATGAGGAAGATAAGGAACTTGCCTGAATGGACTTACATTGCATTTGGGCACACAAACAATAAACAAGTGAATATATAAGGAATTGTCTGGTGGTGAAGAAACTCCATGCAGGGTATGGTCAGTGAGTGGCAGGTACTTTTTTAGCTAGAGGAGGCTCCTTACACAAGATTGGAGCTCCTGAATCCACCATGCTTTCTCTGGCCTTTGTACACATAGTTCCTTCTGACAGGAATTGCTTCTTCCCATTGCTCTTTGCCACCTTGGAGTTTCAGCTCGAATGCCACTTCTTGCAGGAAGCCTTCTCTGATCTTCATCCTTTAACAGGGCTAGGTAACAAAAAACTGTGAACCAGAGACACTTTTTGGGGGGTGGGGGGCGGGAGGGGAGGGATTGGGGTCAGAATGGGGGGGGTTGCAATTGTATGGGGAATATAAAAATAAAATTTATTATTTAAAAAAAAAGTAAGAAAAGAAAACAAAAACAAAAACAAAAAAAACAGGGCTAGGTATCCTTGCTATCTGCCCGTCAATATTGTAGCAGTGGCAGGTCATTAGATGGATGAACCAGAAAGCCTTTACCAAGGAAATAGTGATTGGAAGGATTTGGGGTTTGAAGGATGGGTAGGAATTCAACACGAAGAAATGTGATGGTGACCCCAGAAAACACAGAATAGGGCATGGAGCCTTGAAAAGGAAAATAACCATTCTTGAGCCCCTGCTGGAAACCCAAGCCTGTGCACAACTTCCCACACCATATTTCATTTGGTTCTTAGAATGTCTTCCCCCGAGTGGATCTGTTTGCCCACATCTTGTAAATAAGCAGCCTCCTGCAGCTAATAAGTGATGGGGCTGGCTACAAACTTAAGTCTCTTTGACTGTAAGGAAAGGTACCTAATAAATTCTACCTTTCCCACTTAATCTTAACCAAATGGCCCTCAATCTGAGATTGCATTTTTATGGTGCTGCTTTAGCCACCTTGACACTGTCTGTAGGCAGCTTGCAGACAACTGTTCCAGGTGGCCGGTGGCCAGGCTGCCTGCATCATGGTGGCCGGAGCAGCTGTGCAGGGACACCAGAGTCAGGTGCATTGTGAGTCGGAGTGCCCCTTTGACAGGCTGCGTCTGGGGGTGCCTGCGGTTAAGAGCTTCCCCAGATGGCTTGCGGTCGGTTGTTTCCAGTCTCTCCAGAGAGACAATGTGAGCTTCGAACCTCTGAAGATGAAAGCCGAAGCCACTCACTCCTGCTCATTGTTTCACTCCCTACCCTCACTTCCTGCCAGCTCTGGGGTCAGGCTGTCCTGGGGAAAGCCTGGGCAATTTAACTCCAGCGCCGGAAAGGAGGTACAGAGTGGGTCTTCCTCAATGGGGTCCTGTCTTCCTGAAGAGCTTCTCGAAGAGCTGGTTTCCTGACTCCTGACAGCAATTACTTGCCTTTATCCAGAGCTTTATGGTCAAGGCAGCGCTTCACATGTTGCAGGGCAGCTGTGCTGCCCTGTGCCTCAGTTTCCTCTTCTGCAAAGTGGGGATAATAATGGTAACTTCCTCAGAGGCCTGAGGTAAGGGTTGAATACATTAAATGTGTGGAGCACACAGAATAGCCACTGGCCTAGCAGTGCGGCTGTTACATCATCACATCGTCGGCATCATCATCATCTTATTTATCTGACTTCGGTTTTCAACACTGGCGGGTTGGGCTATGGAAGTTCCATCCACTGACAGTGGAAACAGACTCAGAGAGGTTAAGCAGTAATTGCTCACGTTGAAGAAAGTATGGGTCAAGCACTTGCCGCTGATCAATTCATTTGCTGTTTTCTCAGCCCCTCAAGGTGGCTTCCAAATGTTGATGTTTCAGTCCTGACTGAATTGTGTAGGGGCCAGAGGGTGGTTCTGAACCAGTTCGGAAAGGAGCAAAATGCAGAATAGCTGCTTCCCTGCAAAGACTGTCAGAATGTCAGACAAATTGGACCTTCAAAGCAAAGCCCAGTTGCTTCCTGCTGGAGAGTCACCCCTCCTGCCCCCATTCTCCTGTTCCCTGACATGGGTGGGCGTGCAGGTGAGACCCTCAGGCACAGGTCTTGTTCTTGTCTCTGTGACTCCAGCAATGCTGCTTCAATCATCCGACCCTTTGTTGCTTCACTTAAAGTGTTAAGAGGGCAGGATTAGCACTTGTCTAAGTGTTCTTTCAGATCCAAGCCAATTCTGGGACTACGTTATCTTGTCTTATGATGTTTAAGACCAGCAGCTCCCAAATTTCAGCTCTTTCACTCTCTTCATGGATTCTGCCTTTTCTTAGTATCTTTAGTGTGAATTTACTTAGTGATTTTCATGAGTTTAATTCACTTTTAAAAATTGTGTTTATTTAAAAAAGAAACCTCCATAATTACCTTCAGTGGAAACCTAGCATCACTTGCCATGAATAGAAAATCAACTAAAAAATCAATGTAACAGGAACCAAATTGCTTTCGTCAGTCCGGTTTTGAGGCTGGTGCTGTGGCCGGCTGTGAACTGGGACTTATTCTGATTAAGTGTGGAGATGCCAGAAACATACCAGTCCCCACAGAGACCTTCTCCTTGATTTAATCTGAAGGATCGATAGAGAATTGAGGAAAGGAAGATTTCTTCGCCATGGCACATGCTGTCATCCTGCCTGAAGAGAAGGCTGAGGCTTCCGAAGGTCTCAGAACCAGGCCCTTCTCCCTTGACAGTTGATTAACTTCCAGAGGGCAGTAAATCTTAGAACCAAGGCCCACATTTAAGTGGCTCACAGTTGGAGAACTACGTGCGTGTGTTCATGAATACTGCTTTGCCGTTCAAGTGCCAAAAACGGGGACCAATCTAGGTTTCTATTAATCTCATGTCGGCAGCAATGACAGTTTTACGGGAGAGGCCGATAAACATCCGTCTGCGAGGGTGGGAGTGGGCATAACAAACTCACTCCCTCGCTTCGCAGAACGACTGCAAAGAAAACAAGGAGCCCCCACCCCCAAGGCTTGGGGGATGCCTGGAGTGAGTGTGTGTGGGTGGGATTTGCATGTGCTGTGTGTGTGTGTGTGTGTGTGTGTGTGTGTTTGGAAGGTCACGCAGTCCCCAGACACCACGTACATTGCGGGGGTAGGTAGGGAATGTCTTTCCCTGAGGACATGCTCTTCTGTGGGTTCCTGCTTAGCTGTGAGGAGAGGACAGAGTCCCGGCTTCTTGGCATGTCCCAGGCTGCAGCCCTCTGTCCTCTGCTGACTGACAGGGCACACTTCATAAGCTTCCAGCCAACTTCCTGCAAGCCAGTCAGGGGCCTTGATAAGAAAGTGGAATTCAGGGCAATTAAGTGCCATGTGAGCCCTGAGGATGCATTTCTGGAGAATGTGTTTTCAGAGGGCGGTTGTACCCCAGCTGCTTTCAATGACATTCCATTCATTCAGGGAAGGCTTTTGCAAAATAAGCTTGTTCTGGGGACTGCATTGAGCAGAACCTCAGCCCCACGGGCTGGGCTGCAGTCTGGGCGTGTGAATCGCTCAGCCTATTTATAGGCCTAAATGGAAGTCAGGTGGGGGGATGGCTGAGGTCTGGGGGGCACCGTTTGCAGGCTGGTGGGGAGTGGAGTGAAGTTCGAAGATCCCCAGGGCACCGTGTACAGTGTGCACAGCAATTGGGAACTTTAGAGACTGGGTTGATCTGGCTGATAGCCCCACAGAGATGAACAACCTTGTCTCCCTAAGCCTCAGTTTCTCCATCTGTTAAATGGATCTTCCAAAAATTGTGATGCAATCTCTCCAGTATAAAATGAACCATCTTCACCATTTTGAGGTGTCCAGTTCAGTGGCATCAAGGACAGTCATGTAGTATTAAAAGATTTCAGGAAGGGTTACTTTAGAGAGTGCAGAATGTTTAGAACAGTGCTTGATGACTGGAGGTTGTTCAGTTAGTGGTAACTACTAAGAATTTACTATTATTATTTTGAATTGTCTGCTAATTATCTTGTGCTTTTCAAAGTATTGTTGCCTATTTTGGTGATAAGTGTTTCTCAGTTGGGGCGGGTGTGAAGAAGGGGAAGACACAAGAGTGAGGGGAAAATGTAGGACCTGCTTCTGCCTCAGGGGACTCCATCTAGCTGACCAGGTGGACTTACAGATGTAATTACATCCTGTAGTTACATGCACGTGTGTGTGTGTAATAAGTATGCATGCGATTATATGTGGGTGTGCATATATTTACACATATAAGCACTTGTCACTAGAATAGGCTTGATAGGTATATAGGTTTATGTACACAAAGGGAAAAGTGCTGCCATAAAGTATAAGTTAGACATTCCAGGCAACCAGAGGAGAAGAGAATTCCCAGAGATGAACGAAGCAAGAGAAGCCAGATGAGGTGCAATGTTTGCAAGGAACCTGGAGGTTATAAAGGGTGTTCACCGTCATGGTTTCATCATGATTGAGCTTTTCCTTATTATCCTCACAGTATTCCTGTGAACTGGAACAGGACAGGAGTCTTAAGCTCCCACCTTTTGGTGGGTAAACTGAGGCTGAGCCACTCATTGACCTACTCACTGGGACCCTAATAAGCTCCCTGTGTCTTGCTTCTTTTTGCAGATTGCTGACTTTGGCCTTTCCAACCTGTACCAGAAGGACAAGTTCTTGCAAACATTTTGCGGGAGCCCACTGTATGCTTCTCCTGAAATTGTCAATGGCAGGCCTTACCGAGGACCAGAGGTGAGTGGGTTTTCTGGTGTGTGTGTGCGTGTGTGTGTGTGCGTGCGCGCGCGTGCGTGCGTGTGCATGCGCGCAAACACGTGTGAGAGAGAGAGATACTGGGGAAGAGAAGTAGCCAGGAGGGTGAGACATGGATCCTAGAAATATTCTTTTTAAAAAGCAAGCAAATACAAAACCCTTTTCTTTATGTGATTATTCAAGGCATAACATACATACCTGGGAGAAAATTTTTAAAAATCCACAAAATCTTAAAAAAGAAAATAAAATTACCTGTAATCCCCCAAAAGTGATAAGTTAATGTATTTTGTTACTTTTAAGACTTTTTTCATTGTCGATCCCTGCATTTCAAAAATTATCGATATCATTACATGTGTATCTTGCCTCTTATTATTTTTAAAGTATATTGTGACATTTTCCTAAATCATTACTACTAAAAACATGGCTTTGAACGGCAACATAATGGTTTGTTGTATGAATACACCATAATTTATGTAATCACTTCTTTAGCCTTAGTTAGTTTGTTTCTGGTTTTTTCCTATTACAACAAATTGGACAAAAAAAAAACATTAAAAAAACTAACAGCAGTGAATATATTTTTGATTATGGAAATACATTTTAATTGCATCTTCTAATTCATGAGAAATTCACTTCTCTACATGCTGAAAGCTTTCAAGGCCATTGTTACAACATGAGTATGTTAAAATGTTATTTTGAGAATGGGTGAGTTGAGAGTGATTGTTTTTCTTGAAAAAAAAAAAAAGAATCTCTTCACAGAGATTCATCCACTCACTTTAGATAACAGTTGCTCAGCGGTTGAAATGCTTCCTTCCAAATATTTATCTGTTTAAGAGTGTTTGGGGGCAGGGCTGAGGGGGTAGAGAAGGAAGCCAAGAGCCCTCAACCAATTGCAGCAAAAAGAAAGTCTTCCCAAAACAAGAAAGTAAGGGAGGAACACATGATTCGATTCAGAAAACTGCAGAAACTGCACACTGTAAACTTACCATAGATAATGAGTGCTCCTTTGATCTATATCTGTTTCCAAGGTTACAAGCTGGCACCTTGTGATCTGGGGAGCAAGCAAGCTTTATCAGCCTTTTTGGAAAACAAAAACAAAAAATCAATGCCAAAAATCAAACCCTGAACAGACATTTTAATAATTGTGAGGTTTCACCTGAAAGTCTGATTAATGACTTTTCTTATAAGACCAAAGGACCTCACCACGCTGGGCCAGAACTACTGTGAGGCAGCAGCTAGCAAGGAGGGAGGCTGCCTGCTCAGGATGAAGGCTCTCTACAGCTTGTCTCTGTCCCTGATGCTCCATGTTGTACCCCACATTCTCTCTTTCTTCGTTCCTGGTCATTGTTTACCTGGCTCTTGTAAGCATTTGAATTTCCCACCCCTGATCCATTATGAAGAATGTGCAGGATGGAATTGATTCCTGGCTGGAAGGGAGAGTCCTGCACCCTCCCCTTAGCTCCATCACTGGGGTCTGGAAATCATTTGCATCTCAGTCTTCTCATCTGCTCAGTGGGGTTGAAAATAATCCAGGCTCTACCAGTTTCACAAAATTATAATGAAGATGAAAGAAGATCATCTACTTGAGAACATTCTATTTGTTTTTGGTTTTCAATTTGGAGAATTTGTAGGTTAGGACTGTGGATGAGCAGTTTGAAATAGAAAGGTCAAGAGGCAGGTCCCAGCTGCGTGGCTCATCACTTGTCAGGTTGCTGCTGGGGGTGGGGAAGGTAGTGGGGAGGGATCCTGACTGCACTAAATTCATTTCCTGGGGTCATGGGGATGGCTGCTCACAGGCTGTGATACTAATGGTTTGGGAAACATACTAGACTCTCCCAGCCTCATTATGCCCTGTCTCTCTGCTGCAGGTGGATAGCTGGGCCCTGGGTGTGTTGCTTTACACTCTCGTTTACGGAACAATGCCCTTCGATGGTTTCGATCACAAAAACCTCATTCGGCAGATCAGCAGTGGAGAGTACCGGGAGCCCACACAGCCGTCAGGTGCGTGCCCCAGGAGGGCCGGAGGTCGAGGGGGACGAGGTCGCCTTACGTGCTCACACATTCTGCTTTTGTGCCAGTGTCTACAAGGAATCTCTTGTTTTTCCTTCTTCTTTTCTCCAGAGCTTTGCCTTCTTGCAAAGCTGGCTAGTCATGCTACCTTTACGCAAACCTCCCCAAGCGAAAATTTCAGAACAGTCGTTGAACACAGAACTGAGGCTTGTAGTCCTGTTTGCTTGCTGTGTGAACTTGGACATGTCTTTTTTTCTATTTGGATTCAGTTTCTCCAACATAAGTTAAAATTTTGGAAAAGATATGACATGCTATCCCTCCCAACCCCTGCAGACCCCCAAACCATCCATCCTCAGCAGACTGTAAGCACCATACAGGTGGCAGCTGTTCTTTGTCACACAGCACTGTCTCACTGCCAAGTAAGAACTCTCCCACCCCCAAAATGAACCCTATGGCTTACAGACTCATGGGGCCACAGTCCCTGTGGTGGCTCCAGCCCCTTGGGCTTCGCATGGGCTTTCTCCTGTAGCTGTGATCAGATAGCAGGAAAGGCCGGGCTGAAGGGGGTCCTCCTCTGTGTGGGTTTCTCTCCCGGAAGGAGCCTGGACTTCTTACATGGCAGCTCAGGGCACTAAGGAGAGAGAAAAAGCTGCCAGCCTTCTTAGTGTGTGTGCTTGGGGGCCGGGTAATGTCCCTTCCACCTTGTTCTGTTGGTTAAAGCAACCAAGCCCATAAGTTGCATCTCTTGATCAGGGAGCCCTCAGGTGCATGCCCCAGGAGGGCCAGAGGTCAAGGGAAAGTGGTCACCTGGAAGTATAGCTATGAAAGGAAGGGCCACCCTTGGAAAGCAGTTAACACAGACACTCCATCCAGACGTACGTCCTCTGCATACAAATCACACACGCTGGTTCTCGTGGTTTCTTATAGTTATGCTCTCCAGTGTTGCTAAGAATGAGTCAATGAGTAGTGAATACTGAGGCATTGCTCCTGGGAAAACAGAGGATCAGACGTCTGTGAACTTCTGCTCACAAGAGGTTCAGAAAATACTTATTAAATGACTGGCTGGAAATCATCCTTTTACTTTCCAGGGGTGCAGCTCACCCAGGCCCCATTGCTAGGCCCTTTTGAGCTACTCGTCAGCTATTAAGAGGCAAAAGGAAGGTTCTGATTTCCCAGGATATAATTCAACCCCCATTGGGAGAGCAGAATTTGGTCTTAAAAGTCACCTTAGAAGCTGTGAGAGTCAGTTGGTTCCTGTAGCCTCCTTAGCATCCCCTTGGGATTTTCCCCTAGTTTTCTGGCAGCAGAAATTTGTAAATGGAATTTTTCAGACATGCTGTAAAGGGACACAGATAGAGATCTCCAGGTCTGACAGCTCAGCAGGCTGCGCCTTATGTCAGGGAGGGAAGGAGGTGAGCTCACTGGGTGTGGGTCTCAGAACCTGCCAAGGTGCGGGTGAGACCAGCTTTGGAAGCGCCCCTTCTCCCTGCACAGGTGCATCTTTCTCCATCGGCACCCTCTGATGAGGAGCCTTTTCTCTATGCCTCAGTCCCAAATTTCCTTTTTGTGTCCTTACCCACCCCCAGTGTCTCAGTCCAGCCAGAAGCCCCAAAGCTCCAGCTAATGCATCTTCCTCTTTGCTTCTTGCTGGGCAGATGCTCGAGGACTCATTCGGTGGATGCTGATGGTGAACCCCGACCGCAGGGCCACCATCGAGGACATCGCCAACCACTGGTGGGTGAACTGGGGCTACAAGAGCAGTGTCTGCGACTGCGATGCCCTGCACAGCTCCGAGTCCCCACTCCTGGCTCGCATTATTGACTGGCACCACCGTTCCACGGGGTTGCAGGCTGAGGCCGAAGCGAAAATGAAGGGCCTGGCCAAGCCGGGGGCCTCCGAGGTCATGCTGGAGCGGCAGCGGTCGCTGAAGAAGTCCAAGAAAGAGAATGACTTTGCCCAGTCCGGCCAGGACTCGGTGCCCGAAAGCCCCTCCAAGCTGAGTTCCAAGAGGCCCAAAGGGATCCTGAAGAAGCGCAGCAACAGCGAGCATCGCTCTCATAGCACCGGCTTCATCGAGGGCGTGGTCAGTCCTGCCCTGCCCTCTGCTTTCAAGATGGAGCAGGACTTGTACCGGACGGCCGGGACCCTCCCCAGCTCCCCCGAGGCCGAGGTGCCTGGTAAACTCAGCCCCAAACAGTCGGCCACGATGCCCAAGAAAGGCATCTTGAAAAAGACCCAGCAGAGAGAGTCGGGCTACTACTCCTCCCCGGAGCGCAGCGAGTCTTCCGAGCTGTTGGACAGTAACGATGGCATGGGGGGCGCCCTCCCTTCCCCCAGCCCCCCGGACCCGGCCAGGCCGACTGTCCACAGCCTCTCCTGCCGCCGGAAGGGCATCCTGAAGCACAGCAGCAAGTACTCTGCAGGGACCCTGGACCCGGCCCTCGCCAGCCCCAACGGGCCCTCGCTGGCGTCCTTGCTGGAGCCGGGCGTTCCCGCCGAGGGCCTGTCCCGGAGCTACAGCCGGCCGTCCAGTGTCATCAGCGACGACAGTGTCCTGTCCAGCGACTCCTTCGACTTGCTGGATTTGCAGGAGAACCGCCCCGCCCGGCAGCGCATCCGCAGCTGTGTCTCTGCCGAAAACTTCCTCCAGATCCAGGACTTTGAGGGACTCCAGAACCGGCCCCGGCCCCAGTACCTGAAGCGGTACCGGAACCGGCTGGGAGACAGCAGCTTCTCCCTCCTTACGGACATGGATGACGTGACTCAGGTCTACAAGAAAGCGCTGGAGATCTGCAGCAAGCTCAACTAGCTCCCTGGGGCAGGGGTGGATTGGGGGTGGGTAGAGGGAGGAGCAGGAGCAAAGACTTGCGCTAATGAGCTGGTTACCTCTTTGTTGGTCGTGACAATAGACTGATAAGGGATGGGTGCTGTCTTGCTTGGCCAAGCTGGCAGCTTGAGTCAGCCCCTAAGAGGGAAAGTGGGCTTTCTGCCAGTCCTGCCAACTGCCAGTCAGAATTTGGGTCCTAACTGGCATTTGCTATATGGCATCTCCTAGCGGACCACCTGTCCAGGGGAGGTGTGGGCCAGCACTTACCAGGCTGGAAGCAGATGGGAGAGGGAGCATTGCAAGAGAGACTGGGGCCATCTGCCTTGGGTGAGCTTGAAGAGCTTGCTTCTCCTCTGCTCACGTTGCAGGCTTGGTCTGGCTGCTTGGGGTTGGCCGGTGGTTTCAGATCTTGAGTTGGCGATTGATTGTTAATGGCTGCTGGGTGTGCAGATTTGAGCAGTCCTGGCACAGGACTGCTGGGATTGAATAGTAATGATTGCCATGGAGGTGGGAGGGGAGGGCAGCAGCACTCATGGCACGTCGTTTCCATCCTGGATAAGCTCTGGGAGTTGGGCTAAGGCATCCTGTGAGCTCTGCATTCACTCTTTCATGCCACTAGTGTGGCATTTGTTAATTTGCTACTATACTTTGAGTGGAAGATAGGGCCTCGGTCAGAGACAAGACTTTGACCAAGGACTTAAAGTCAGCACATGGGGAGTTTTGAAAGAGCTTCTTGCTATCTGCCCCTTCTTTCCCCATGTCTGCCTTGCTCTTCAGTACCACCTCCTGAGGTTGGACAGGAAAAAAGATGGTGGTATCAGAGGTCAAAATTGTGATGAATAACAGAGCTCATGACCCTCTGTGGTCTTTGCGCAGATGAATGGAAGTTGATCCATAGCAGCCAGGGGGCAACCTGTCAATTTCTTTAAAGTTTCAATGTTAACTGGAATGCTGCCTCTTGGATTCTTACCTGCTTGAATCTGGGAATTGGATGTCGATACTGTCTGTAATCTCCAAAGGAGTAACTGGCTCAACCATTTGCCCTGTTTACTAATAGCAGATGGCTTCCCTGTCCATCAAGGATAGATTTCTCAGAGGTAGGGGAGTTTGTTTCTAGGGAGTTAGTGAGTAGGTGGGATATGAGGATGAGGAGAGGAATGTCAGGCAGGAGGTGCTTTTCCAAACAGGTGTTCTGAGTCATGGCTTCGAATGCCTAGGCTTTTGGTAAAAAGAAGGTCTTAGCCATTCAAATGAATAAGGTGGCGAAGGAGCAGAGTGGGTTGGGAGGAAGCATACAGAAGAGAAAATGCTTCCTTAGAAATCATCCAAATGGTTCTGGAGGTGACAGAACTCCTATCCTAAAAAGTAACGAAACTAGGCATTTGTCTTCTAAGCGCCCAGATGACAGGAGACATGGCACCACTCCCACGTGGGACAGCTTCAGATATTGGATTTGGAATCAATGGTCTTACTTGGGAATTTGGGGTGACTTCAGATTTGTCTTACCTGGGCAAATCAAAACCCTTGTGTCAACATGGCTGACTTCTCACGACCACCCAAGTATATCAGGAGGACTAGTCTTGGGGCTAATTTTGGAAAAACCAACAGATAATATATAGTTCACCTTAAGGCACTGAGAACATTGAGCAGAAACAGCTTTTCCCTAGGGACATGGCTCCTTCTCTTGTCGCAGGCAGTGTGGCTTTGGTTTGTATAGCTAGTCGGAGCTGAGCAAGGAAGCTTCTTGGTTTCCTTTCATTCAATCCCACCTTCTTCCTTAACTCTCACGTAGGGTCAAAAGGGAAAATTCTATGGGTAGCAAATGGTGTGGGGGTGTATAGGTACACGGAAGTGATTCTGAACCTCTTAGCTCTCTATTCCTTGTCTCATTTTATGTGACCTTTTCTGGAATCTTCTCTGGACAGCTGAGCAGCTGCACCGCTGATCCTCATGTGTGACTGCTGGCCTATGTGGGCACTCTTAGCAGACCTGGGGATCATACCTACCTCCTGATATATGTTTTTTTCCTTCTGTCGAGTGATTACATCTGTTAACTGTTTCCATACTTCTAATCCAAGAGCAAAAATGTTAAGGAAAATCATTCTACTTCCTTCCTTCTCTCCCCAAACACATGTGTGTTGTGTTTTGTCCATAAACCTATACAACGGATTTGGTCATGGGAGTCCCCTACGCAGAGGCAGAGATCCTGAGTTTAGTCCCACTGGTGACTTTAGGTACTTGCAGTGCTTGGGGGACTAAATTTTCCCTTTATTGAAGACTGGAGAGTGGATTAGCTCATCTCCCAGGCCCTAGTTCAGCATTCTATAATATCCTATGATTCTAGATCCTATAACATCCTCTGATTCTAGATTCTACACATCCTCTGATTCTAGATGTTGTGTTGACTCTGTCCTTTCAAGGAAAAGCTTGGAATAGAGGGAAAAGTCCTGAAAAGTAGCTCCCTTGCTTCCTGATGATGTCCTTTTCTCCCTACCAGCCACCCCCCCAGCCAAGGAAGTCATGCTTGATTCATTTCCATGGAATTACAAGTGCGAGACACTTACATGACCTGGTGGACCAAACGGGAGATCCCATATCAGCTCTCCTGGTCCTTTCCTGGCCTCTGTGGGTCTTCTGGTGTCTTAGTTTACACAATTGCCAAAGGAGTAGAATTACACTTCTTTTTACAGGTAAATTTCAAGGCATGATCAGTTTTCAGGAAGTGCTTCAAGACCCCAGGTGAAATGAAAATGCTAAGTCCTCTGAATGTCCAGCCCTTCATGAGGTGCTTCTTCAGAGGACGGGAGCACTTTTCAGGGTGATTCAATGGATGTTCCCAGGCCTGCTGTCTTGAGTACAAATGTGAATGATCGACTGACTGCTTATTGTCAAACTGGAAATGTTCTGTAGGGATTTACTGGCATGGTATCATTCCTAGAAGAAAAAAAAGAGAGAGAGAAACTTGACTGCACATTTTTTTTTAAATCCGTGTTGTGACTTTAATTTAATTTCTATTTTTTTTGTAATAAAAAGTTGACTTTTTTATTTGAATTTGTCTTTTTTTTATTTATTGGTCTGAAGGCATTTCAAAGGTATTATAATAATATATTGGTGTAATTTAATTGGTGCAACATGCTTTATGGCTCCAGTCAAAATTGGTTTTCACTCCTTTGATTGGTTTGAGCCCAGAACAGCCTACAGGGAAAATTAAAAAAAAAAAAAGTGCTGGATAGCCACCCAAAGTGTTTGTATTTTCATTGGAAACTGATTTTTGTTTTGTTTTTGTTTTTGTTTCTGTTTTTTATTTTTAAATTAAATAAATTGCAATGAACTGAATTGAACTGGGACTTTGCTTCTTTATTTGGTTGTTTTTCTCTTAGTTAAGTAAGTGACAGAAGGAGTATAAGTAACTGAAACCCACCCAAGCGCAAAAGGAGAATTTGCTCAGTGTTCTCAGAAGAGGAAATGCAGCTGGCCTTACAGCTGGAACCAGATCTGGGAAGAGGAACCCAAGACACCCATGCACCCTCTTTTAGGTTCCTGTCTGCATTCCAGATGTCTTCTCTTGCAGCCAAGCTTTCCCCTTCCTGGTTTTGTCACCCACCTCGGCTGACCCCCTCACTTCCAAGTGGATGTGCTCTCAGTCCTAGTTTTCAAGAGGTGACAGCCTTCCATGTGAACTAGAGACAACTTCAAAGATTAACACTCTGTCCTGCTCTCTCCCTACTGTCAGCTGCCTGCCCATCAGCAACCCTTCTATCCCAAGGGCAAACAAATGGCTAATTGGATTGCTGAGAGCCCTAGATCCATGGCGGGATAGGCCACTGCTTTGCCTATAATAGCGTCTCAAGTCCCATTTTTGCCATTGTTTCTGGAGCAAATAGACCTTCCAGGATGCTCTTGGAAAGAGGGCCTGAGAGTAGGCTTAAGACTGGGGAATTCCTGGATCCTGGCCATATCACGAAGGGACATCAGCCTCTCCTTGGATCAAACATTAGAGTCATGCTCTGCAGCAAAAAAAACTGGAGGGATCCATGTGAGCAATGAAGAAATTACTTTGCAAAGAAATTACAACTTTTAATCCCTTATCTGGTTTAGCAGAATGTCTGATTCCCATTGTCACATTTAGCAAATAAAACTACATCCCAGTTAAACAAGGAATAGTTTTTTGAGTGATGCTGATACTTAAAAAATCATTATTTAATGGAAATGCAAATTTAACTAGACATATTATACCTGGAAACTTTAATTGGGGTTTCATTGGCTACATTGATTGGGTAAAGGGCATGGGAGAGGCTGGGGGAATGGATGACCGTGACTCTAGGGTGAGGCGGAGAGAATTCCACTTCCAGTTTGATATTTGCTATTGAACTAAATTATTTCACCCCATATGAGTTTTCTCCTGTGTCTGAGGGGTGTGTTAACTGCCCCCTTACCCAACTTGAACAGGGCAATGAAAAAGAAATGAGAGAATTTCTATGTTGTTACTTTGAATGTTAAGTTCAGTATGAATGGGAAACTGGTTTTTCTTTATAGGGTAATATTTTCACTAACTTTTAAAATAGGACATTTGTTAGGCTGTCTGTCTGGCCTGTTCTTAATTATTGCTGTGCCATCTGCCGCTCTTAGCAAATGGGCCTGTCAGTCATTTGCAAGGTAAGGGATGAAGAGGAAGGTTACTTAAAAGTAAGTTTCTCTGGAGAGACACAATTCTGCAGTGAGAGGGAGGGAAATAGCCTGAGCCTGACCTTGAGGCTGGACCAAGCGTAACATAGAAGGGGTGGCGAGTCAGCAGGGACTCCCAGGGTGACACAGATCCCAGTTGACATGTGAACTGACAGTTTGGCGAAGTGAATTGGAATGGTCACTTTGAGGGGGAACTTGAGAGAACTAACATTTATTGCATTTCTATATGGTAGGCAAGTGACAGAAACCTTAGACCAATGTAAGTAACAAGATGGATTTACTGCTTTATGTCACTGAGAAGTCCAAGGAGTATGTCTCAGGCACAGCTGGATCCAGGAGTTCAAGTGATGTCACTGGCCTCATTTCACTCACTCTCACTGGATGTGGGCTTCATTCATAGGTAGACACTTACTGCACAGCTGTAAGAGATGCTGGGAGTTATGAAAGTCCTTTATCGTGTGATTGGTCTTGCTGGGGTCAGGTGTCTCTCTCTGGCCCAGTCACAGAATCTAGGTAGAGAGATGCTCTGATTGGCTGGCCTGGATCCTGCACCCATCCTTGTGTGTACTAGAATGATGGCTCCTTCAAAATCACCTGGAGTGGGGGAGGGCAGCCCCCCAAAGGAAGGCATACAGAGCCCACAAACAGTAACCCATGCTAGTTATACCATTTGGGCCTCAATTTCATCTATAAAATGGCATTAAATAATCCTAACTTTCAGAGTTATTGTGAAGATTAAAGGCAATTAAGTACCTCATGGAGGATCTGGCATAGAGATGATTCCTAATTTATACAGATAACGTCAGGGAAGACCACAATAGAATATACATACAGAAAGAAGATACATTTTTAACAAACATGTTAGCTGAAAATCAGGTATAATATCAGAAAAAATCCAGCTGAAATGTGTTTAAACACTCTAGGGGCTTTTAGTTCACATATGTGGAATTTATTATTTCACATACATGGAATTCTAGAAATGTATAGATTTCATGGTTATTTAGGTCTAATGGGAGAATTGGGTAATAAACAAGTAAACAAATACTCTCTTTCCCTCCAAAGCACAGATTGTAGTAAGTGCTATGAAAGTCATGGAGAGGGTATAGAGATAAATATTTCAAGAGGGAGCAGACCTCGTGTAGAAAAGGAGTAGTTAGGGAAGGCATCTGGAGAGGTGGCCTTTGGGCAGACATCTGAAGCTGAAGAATTAGCTATATGAAGAGTGGGCACTCCAAGCAGAGTGACCAGTCTATTCAAAGGCCCTGGGGTCTTTAAAACGGAGCTTTACAGGACTAACTTCTGGTTTGGTAGCATGCATAGGACAAACACGGTCCAGGGAGTGTGGTGCTTTGCTAAGCATGTGTGGCCATGTTCTAATGTGGACTGGCTGTGTCCATTTATGACTCTGTGTACCCTTAATTAGAAATGGCTGCTTCTTTCGACAGGTGGTCTCCAGACGAGATACATGCCATGACGTGCAATTTGAAATAAGAATATGTTTCCACTGAGGAAATTCACTGACAATTTATTTAAATTTATGGAGAGGATGTTTTTAATCCATGGCATCATGCAAAGTTTGGGGCATGGATGTGGAGCAGCAGAGATGCTTTATGAAGACCACACGTGTACAATTTCTTGTCACAAACCTGCCCCTCTTTTAATGCCCTTCATAATCCATTTTAATAGGTGAGGACACTGAGTGTTGGAAATGTGCGAGTAACTGGCCCCAATCTCCCCACTATTAAATGTGGAGCTCAATGCAAGTATAGAACCAGCTGACCAGCTTCTGGGTCCAAGACCTTCCTCGTTCTATTATGCTCTTACCCTGGGTCATCTCAGCTAAGGCTCCTTGATCATAAACCTCTATATGTTGCTGCCTCCATTCACGTACAGGACATTTTCCTACAGGAACTGAACAGACACCATCAGGAATGGAGACACTGGCCTAAGCTGATGCACTCTGCCAACACAAATGGAAACGAGAGCAACTGTCCTCCAGGACCTCACTGATGTTAAGCTCCAGTAGCTGAGGTCTCGGCAGGTGAAATTAATAAATTGATTCCGGTTTCTTAAGGCCTCTAGAGAGGAAAAGGATGGAGAAGTGAGTCCATCCAGAGCACCTGCTGTGATTCAGAACTCAGTAGAGGGGAACTAAGGAGGCCTTTGGTGGCCAAATGCCTTCAGTCCAAAGCTGTGTATTCACATGCATTCCCCAATAGGGTGATTCATGTGCTCTTTGCCTGTGCAGGTGCAGCTCAGGGGACCCTACTTCTAGAAAGTTGCAAGCACCAAGCAATTGCTTGGAAACACATGGTGATACAGGATGTCAGGCTGGGCTGCATGAAGGCTCTTGCGATCAGGCATTGCAGGAGAAACCTCCATCACAGGAAAACAGAGCATTGCCATTTTGTCAGAGCCTAGAGTGGGGTGATGACACAGACATGACCCCAAATCACTTTCAGGGTAACAGTTCAATGTCAGTTGAAACTAAGGGTGGAGAACAATTAATTTTGGAGGCAGCTGAAGGAAAGGGTCTCCAAAAAATAGCTATCCTGAGAAAGTTCTGCAAATTTCAATCTGTGAATCACTGAAGCTGAAAAACATCTGATTCAGCATTGCCTAGGGCATTCCAGAAACTTTAGCCATCAGACTTTGGAGCCTGGACAAAAGGATGTGTGCAAAACAGAAAGCCAAATGCAGATCCAGGCCTGCTGGTCAGCTCTAAAAAGGATATAGTTGGGGGTTCAAACCCAGTGAAGTACAGATGGCCCCTGCCAGTAGGTTCTGTTCAGACTGACTTCTCATAAGCACTTCTAGTTGGGCACCATGATGATAAAATAAAAAGACTTGGAGGGCTTTGGAAAAATCCCTCTCTTTTAGAGAAACAACTCATAATCAAATGTTGGGTCCTTTTGGAATCCAGAATAGTGAGAAAATATTGCCTTTGAGGCTGAGTAAGAGCTAATGAAAGCACACCTTGCTAGGATTCCAATGTGAAGGGACAGATTAAAAGAGGCAAGTCATCCTCCAAGTTTCCAATGCAGTCACACACTGTTGCTTTGACTAGTGTGTCCTCTGAGTCCTTTCCTGTCCTGGAATCTTCCAGTCTGACCAATCGTGATCCTGCCTCTACATTCCATTACAAGGACGTTACTCACAGCCAAAGTCCTGGCCCTCATTGCTTTGTTACTCACCTATGGCACCATTTCTGTCTTCTCTTGGTCCTAGAACTTGCCTTTGTACCCTCTCACTCACTACCTGACTGTGACCACTGCTGTGACTTCCTAATGAAGCCTGAATCAGCCTGCCCCGTTTACCTGCACTCGCAAGTCAATGAATATCAGGGATCTTAGTCCAACACAGATGCCAATGCCAAGTGGGGAGTCTGGAGACCTTAGCTTTGGGGTTTGTGGTCTTGATCCAATTGTTTTCTCTTTTTGGGCTCTACTTTCCTCATCTACAAAGAAAGGCATTGGAATGGAGCAGTGATTTTCAAAATATGTTCTTGGGATCATCTTAAAGAATACCAACCTAGGTCAGGGAGAATGGAAAGAAGGAAATATGAGCTGCTGAGATTTAGAAAACCACACTTCA